TTCAGTCTGTCAACTATAACTCGCTATGACTCAGTCCCTCAACTATAACTCACCTATGACTCAGTCCCTCAACTTTTGAATCACTTATAAATTAGTCCCTTAACTTTTGTTAATTTTTTCATGTTAATTTCTATCTCACATTAATGAATGAGAAGAGGGTATTTTAAAATAATATATGAGTATTTTTTACCCCTCTTATTTGATAAAAAAATTTAAAAAAAATTAAAAAATAAGGATCGAGTTATAGGTAAATCAAAAGTTGAGGGACTGAGTTGCAACGAGTTATAGTTGAAGGACTGAGTCGCAGCGAGTCATAGTTGAGGGACTGAGTTACAAGTGAGTTAAAAGTTAAAGGATTAAAAGATTAATTTTTTTAAATTTTAATTATATTTGGAATGAAATTATGCGTCCATTTATGCATTTTGCGTAAGCAGCTCAACAAATTGTCCTCGTTGAAGTGTTTTGTCACTGCTGCAACTCACGACTACCACATATTAGACTTTACTATATTTATCTTTGACAAACGCGGTACAAATCTTGGTCTAAAATTTCTCTAATTAAGGGCTAAAAAGCCAAAGCCTTTTACTGGCTCATACTCTCTCAACCGTGATCATGGGGTTGTGGTTGATCGTCTTTGTCACAATCTGTCTCTGTTTTTCCATCAGAGCTCTCATCAATCTTCTCTCTCCTCTTCTTCTTCTTCTTCTTCTTCTTCTTCTCCTCTCATCTCCCTCCTGGTCCTCTCCGGGTTCCCATCATCGGCAGTCTCATATGGCTGAGCAGATCACTCAGCGAACTCGAACCCATTCTTCGAAAGCTTCATGCCAAATATGGACCCATCGTCACTCTCCCAATCGGTTCTCGTCCTGCCATATTCATCGCCGATCGATCTATGGCCCACCAGGCACTTATCCAAAACGGCCTCGTCTTCTCCGATCGTCCCAAGGCCCTCGCCACCGAGAAGATCCTCAACAGCGACCAACATAACATTATCTCCGCCTCCTACGGCCCCAAATGGCGTCTCCTCCCGTCGCAACCTCGCCTCCGGGATACTTCACCCGGCGAGAATCAGATCGTTCTCGAGCATACGTAAATGGGTTTTAGATTTGCTAGTGACTCGACTTATAGTTGATTCAAAATCCAGCAATCCCATTGGAGTGAAAGACCATATCCAATATGCTATGTTCTGCTTGCTGGTGTTCTTATGCTTTGGTGACAAGTTAGACGACAAGCAAATCAAAGATATTGAATGCGTTCAGAGGAATATACTTTTGAGTCTAAGAAGATTCAGAACACTAAATTTCTGGCCAGCAATTACTCGAGTACTGCTCCGCAAGAAGTGGGAGAAGTTCTTGCAGATTAAGCAGGAACAGAAAGACGTGTTGATTCCATTGATAAGAGCAAGAAAGAAACTAAAGGAAGAGAGATCAAACCAAGAACAAGACGACAATAATGATAATGACGATGATAATAATGCGACAGAAGAACATATAGTGTCATATGTGGATACTCTGTTGGATTTGGAATGGCCTGGGGAGAAACGAAAACTCAATGAAGGTGAAATGGTTTCAATATGTTCGGAGTTTCTAAACGCAGGAACAGATACTACTGCTACTGCATTACAATGGACTCTGGCATGTTTGGTGAAGTACCCACAAATTCAACAGAGGCTTGTGGATGAAATAAGAGATGTAATGGGTGAGAGAGAGGACAAGGAAGCGAGAGAAGAAGATCTGAGCAAAATGCCATATCTCAAAGCTGTGATCTTGGAGGGACTCAGACGTCACCCACCTGCACATTTTGTGTTGCCACATGCTGTGTCAAAGGACATGGTGTTCAACAATTACTTGGTACCCAAGAATGGGTCTTTGAATTTCATGGTGGCAGAGATGGGGTGGGACCCAAAGGTGTGGGAGAATCCAATGGAGTTCAGGCCTGAGAGATTCTTGAGCACTGAGAAAAATAATGATAATAATGGTGAAACATTTGATATTACAGGAAGCAGAGAGATAAAAATGATGCCTTTTGGCGCAGGGAGAAGAATGTGTCCAGGTATGCATTGGCACTGCTTCATTTGGAGTACTATGTGGCCAATCTTGTATGGAAATTTGAATGGAAAGCTTGTGACGATGTTGATTTGTCAGAGAAAGTAGAATTTACAACAGTAATGAAACATCCATTGCAAGTTCGTTTGTGTCCGAGGTTTTAGATTTAGACCTGTAAGAGGAATACATCAGATTCATCCTTTCTACTGATGCTCAATTAATTAATCATCCATGTACGTGATATATGGATATTGTTTCCAAGTTTGTGTCTTTTACGTGAACTTCATTTAGCGGGTAGCTTGTGGAGTTTGTGTGAATATGAAATTGAGCAATTTTGTTTGGATAGGAGAAGCAATTTCTTCCTCTGGATCTAGAGATGAGATATTCATTCATGAATGTAATGAACATCCACAGTTATTTGGTTTTTTTAATCAATGAACTAGCACGTTTCAATTGTATCATAGTATCTTGCATTCCATTATCAGAACAGAGCAATGTTGTCTTTATTAAAGCATACAAATGATTCATATTGCTAGCCTTGCTCAAACTCACATCCATATCGTATTACGGTGATTACTAATTTTTGCAATAAAGCTTCTTTACATGCGGCACATGGCTTCCATTATTACTCTGACGTTAGAATTTTGGATCTATCCAATTAATTGCCAAGTATGTTTCACCCATTTCCGGAAACCTAACCTGCACAAGGTTTTTTAGGGGAGAATGTCAACGAGGGCCCTAAAAATCAAGCTAATAGCATGTAGGGATCAAATCATTTTGAAATTATTTTGCAAGCTTAAGAGTCCAAATTGCAATCAATTTTGTTGGTCCAATTACTAAAACATCTTTTTACCTTTTTTTTTTTTTGTCTTGTTAATGACCAGTCAAATGTGTCAAGGATCAAGGGTGGATTTAAACCCTTTATTCTCCAAAATGAAAAAAATCATTGAACCAACAAACACTTTAATATGTATAGTGCAAAATTATATATATATATATATATATATATTATAACTTTAATTTTGAAGTATTTTTACTTGTTATTGCATATCTTATATATCCTGTTTTGTATATATAAACATTCACTTGAGCATATTCAAAAATCACTTGTTCATATATGAAAAGAATTGTTAATTTTTTAAAACTTAATTTATTCTATTTTTCACAACTTGTTCATTCAATGTTAACAAGGTATCAATATTATGCCAAATAAAAATATATATGTTATAAATTTATTTTTCAAGCATTTTTACAAGTTTTTTTTTAATCATGGACATCTTGTTATATATATCTGAACAATCACTTATACAAATTTAAATATCATTTGTTCATACATAAAAAAGTTGTCAATTTTTTAACCTAATTTATTCTATTTTTCACAACTTGTTCCTTCAATATTAACAAGTTATCAGTATTATACTAAATAAAAACAGTATATCTTATAAATTTATTTTCAAATGTTTTCACAAGTTTTTATTAATCATGGACGTCTCGTTGTCTATATTTGAATAATCACTTGGGCCTATTCAAATATTATTTATTCATGCATAAAAAATTGTCAATATTTTTAAACTCAATTTATTCTATTTTTAAACAACTTATTCTTTTAATGTTAATAAGTTATCAATATTATATTAAATAAAAAAATTATATGTTATAAATTTATTTTTCAAACATTTTCACAAGCTTTTGTTAATCATGAATGTTTTATTGTGTATATCTAAATAATCACTCATACATATTCAAATATTACTTATTCATATGTAAAAAGAGTTGTCAATTTTTTCAAACTCAATTTATTCTATTTTTCACAACTTATTCCGTCAATATTAACAAGTTATCAATATTACACTAAATTTAAAAAAAAAATATGTTATAAATAGAATAAATTAGGTTTCAAAAAGTTGATAATTTTTGTGTGTGAATAAGTGATGTTTGAATAAATACAAGTGATTGTTTAGATATACATAACAAGACATTTATGATTAACAAAAGGCCATGAAAATACTTGTAAAATAAATTTATAACATATACTTTTTTATTTAACATAATGTTGATAATTTATTAACATTGAAGGAACAAATTATAAAAAATAGAATAAATTAAGCTTAAAAGAATTAACAACTTTCTTTATATATGAATAAGTGATGATCAAATATACACAACTGAATGTTATATGTACACAACAAGATATTTAGGATATATAATGAATATACTTACAAATGAAAGTTAGTGTGTGTGCGTACGTGTGTGCGAAAAAGTATATGCTATAAAGAGAATAAAATTGGGTTTTAAAAAATTGATAATTTTTTTGTTTGAATAAGTGATGTTTGAATAAACACAAGTGATTGTTCAGATACATACAACAAGATGTTATAATTAACAAAAGGTCATGAAAATACTTGTAAAATAAAGTTATAACATATATTTTTTATTTAACATAATGTTAATAATTTGTTAACATTGAAGGAATAAATTATGAAAGATAGAATAAATTAAGTTTAAAAAAATTAACAATTTTTTTTATGTGTGAACAAGTGATGATCAAATATGTATAACTGAATATTCATATATATATATAAAATATTCAAGATATATAATAATGAATATACTTAGAAATGAAAGTTATAATATATATATATATATATATAATTTTATATTATATATATATATATATTAAAGTGTTTGTTTGTTCAATGATCCTCTTTATTTTGAGAAATTAAAAAATTAAAGGTTGAAAGTCACTTTTAAACCCTTGGCACATTTGACGGGTTGTCGATATCCATCGACGACGATCGCCAATAGGGTTTTAAAATAGTATGGGCCCAAGATGCTATTAATTTTATTTTTAAGGCCCTCGTCAAGATTCTCCCTTTACTTAGAGTAGATACTTGGCAAATAAGTTGACTTTTGGTAAAAGTGCAATCTTTGTTCACCATTCAACCCATGAGACAAAATTCGGAGAAGGAGCACAAGAACATCTTAATAATTGATCTTGGAAGCCACGCAACAAAGAAACCTTCAAAGTCAATTTTCTCTGGATGGCGAGACGACGCCAATTGTCTCCTCACTGTAATTCTTTAAATTTCCGCTCACTTCGGAAAGCTTTTCCCAATCATACCTGTTATTACTATACGATCATTCTCTAACCCTAGTCCGATCATGGAAGTCTGGTTCATCGCCCTCGTCTCTCTCTGTGTTTGTCTTCTCTTCCGAGCCCTATTCAATCTTTCGTCTCCCTCCCGCCTCACACCTCTGCCGCCTGGTCCTTCTCGTATTCCCATCATCAGTAATATTCTTTTTCTGCGCAAATCATTCTTAGAAATTGAATCGTTACTGCGAAATCTTAGTGCCAAATACGGTCCCATCTTCTCTCTTCGTGTTCGGTCTCGTCCACTAATATTTGTTGCTGATCGATTCATTGCCCACCAGGCCCTGGTTCAAAACGGCGCCGTGTTCTCCGACCGTCCCAAGGCCCTTATCACCAGTAAGATTTTTAGCAGCGATCAACATGACATTAGCTCCGCCTGCTACGGCCCCACCTGGCGGGTCCTCCGCCGCAACCTCGCTTTCGAGATGCTTCACCCGGCCCGGATTAAATCCTTTTCGGGTTCTCGTAAATGGGTTTTGGACTTGCTTGTCAGCCGGCTCAAAGCTGATTCTGAATCAAGCAATTCTATTAAGGTGATCGACCACCTTCAGTACGCTATGTTCTGCTTGTTGGTGTTCATGTGCTTCGGTGAAAAGCTTGATGAGAAGCAAATTAGAGATATCGAGCATGTTGAACAACGTGTACTTTTGAGCGTGAGCAGATTCAGAGTGTTGAATTTCTGGCCGAGAATCACTCGCATACTGTTCCGCAAGAGGTGGCAGGAATTGCTCCAGACTCGGAAGGAACAGGAGAGTGTGTTGATTCCACTGATCAGAGCGAGGAAGAAAGCCAAGGAAGACAGGTTGAACAGATCTAAAGAGGATGCTGATAGCTCAGATCAATTTGTTGTGCCTTATGTGGATACTCTGTTGGATTTGGAGTGGCCGGAGGAGAAGCGAAAGCTTGAAGAATCTGAAATCGTGTCTGTGAGTTCAGAATTTCTTAATGCAGGGACAGATACAACAGCGACGGCACTGCAATGGATTATGGCAAATCTGGTGAAGCACCCACATATACCAGAGACGCTTGCGGAGGAAATTAGAGACGTGATCGGTGATAGAGAGGAGAAGGAAGTGAAAGAGGATGACCTGAACAAATTGCCATATCTCAAGGCTGTGATTTTGGAGGGACTAAGGCGTCACCCACCTGCACATTTTGTTCTGCCACATGCAGTGAAAGAGGATGTGGTACTGAATGGTTTCTTGATACCTAAAAATGGAACTATAAATTTCTTAGTGGCAGATATGGGATGGGACCCAAAGGTGTGGGAGAATCCAATGGAATTCAAGCCAGAGAGATTCTTGAACTCAGAGAAGCATGGAGATGAAGGGTTTGATATTACAGGAAGCAAAGAGATAAAGATGATGCCGTTTGGAGCTGGGAGAAGAATCTGTCCTGGTTATAATCTGGCCATGTTTCATTTGGAGTACTTTGTAGCCAATCTGGTTTGGAATTTTAAGTGGAAGGCTTCAAATGACGGTGTTGTTGATTTATCTGAGAAACAAGCCTTCACTGTGATGATGAAGAATCCTTTACAAGTTCACATATCTCCAAGAATTGTCCCCCCAGCACGGTAAGTTGGTATATATAGCAATGAGGCTTGTAAGTGTACAGCTAGTTTTATAGATGTGTATATTTTACTTATTAAGAAGTTGTGAGTCTGACTTTCTCATCTAAACTCTTGATAAATTCAAATTCAGTTTGGTATCTACCTGCCAGAACATTTCTGAGAATTACTATGGTTGTTTCCAGCTTCTTAGACTTCCACACACAGATAAAATTGGTTGATTGTTTGGTTTGTTGAGATGACCCGGAAGAGGAATATCAGATTCATCTTTTATACTGACATTGAAATTGTCCATGTACGTTAAATTATGCATGTTGAGAAAAGTAGTAATTCCTTGCTACGTAAGCTTCCAAATTTAGTTTGAGAGCAATGTTACGTTCATCCCTTATTTGCCATTTTATATCAGAACAGGGAATCTGGAAGTGTAACGATGGGTAGAACAGCCTTTTGGTTACCTCAAAAATAGTTTTGGTATGTACATATGTTTGAAATTGATTTTATGATTACCATAAAAACTTTTATCACTTACCAATTAAAATTGCCGCGATTGACAAGCACCTTCATTATTTAAACAAATTGTTGCAATTTAATCGAGAATTTTTTACCATTACTCTATATCTCGGGAGAAATGTCCTTTGTTATTAGCGGGGCTTGAGAGGAATGTCCTTTGTTATTAGCAGGACTTACTCCTTTTGCTAAGAGAATTTTTTTCACTTCACATTGTTGAATTTATTTAAATTTTGAATTGATTTCTTAACTTAATATTGTTTAAATTTAATATATAATAATTAAGTATATAAGTTTTTGAAATAACTACTTTTGATCCTATACTTTTTGGAGACCAAAATATCAATTTAATTTCAGTTTAAGACTAAAAAAATCATAAAACTTCGACCGAAGGTTCTTAAATAATAAAATGCATCATAAAACCACAAATTATTTTGATGTTAAATTTTGAAACTAAGTTCAGTAAATGAGATATTCATTCGCGAATGCAATAATACATTTATGCACAGTTATATGGTTCGTTTTAATTAATGAATAAGCATGTTTCAGTGGTATCATATTATCTTGCATTCCATTATCAGAACAGAGGAAACAGGGCAATATTGTTTTTATCAGAACAAAATAAATGATCAAGATTGCTAGCCTTGCTGAAACCCTCAAACCCGTGTCGTATTACAGTGATTACTATTTTAGCAGTCAAGCTTTATATATGGTATATGACTTCCATTACTCTTAAAGTGAAGAATTTTGGATCGATCCAATTAAGGCCAAGTATGTTTCACAATCACGTGTCCTGGCAACTCAACCTGTATAAATGTATTTGGAGCAGATATTTTTTCAGTCCCAGCTAAGAAAAATATTGACTATGATTGGATTTTTGAGATAAAAATAGTAAAGGAAGAGCTACAAAAGTTTAGTAAGTAACTTAAAAATTTCACGAATTTTTTTTTTGGGCCAAAGAGAAACACTATATTTCACAAAGTTTTAGCCCCAATTGTTATTTCCGACTTTAGCTAATAGCAACATATACAATTTTACGAGGACATTTGAGAGATACAAACATAATTCCACTGAACAAATCTCACCATCACTTCTTTTCTAGCAAAGCATAATGCAGTCATGTTCAATTGTTATTTTATTATGAATTAATACGTCATAATATAATTCAGAAAGAAGTAGCAACGGTTGAATTTCTTTAAAATAAAAATTGTACCAAATCTATTTTCCGAAGAGTAAATATACTTGTTTATTGTACTGTGATAAATAACACCCATTTCAGATTTTCTATCTTTGATCAGACTCTACCTTCAGAAGGGTTCAGAGAAGACAATTCTTTATAAATGAAAATAGTGTATAACTAATTTTCTTTTTCCTCCCCGTACTTTGCAAATATAAGATGTTGCCTTTCGGCAAAGGTGTAATCTTTATTCACGATTCAGTCCCATGAGAGAAATTCAGAGATAGAACGCAAAAACATTTAACAGAACCAGAAACCTCCAACGTCAGATTATCTTGTTCCGTGTTCAATTTCTCTGCATGACGAGATGACACTAATGTTACTATCCATTCGTCCTCTTCGTTCTTAACCTTAATCATGGAGATCTGGTTTATCGTCCTCGTCTCTCTCTGTCTCTGTCTTATCATCCGAGCCCTCTTCAATCTTTCTTCTCCCTCTCGCGCCATCCCTCTACCGCCTGGTCCTCCTCGTATTCCCATCATTAGTGGCATTCTTTTTCTGCGCAAATCGTTCTTAGAAATTGAATCCCTACTCCGACAACTTGGTGCCAAATACGGTCCCATGTTTCACTCCTTGTATTATGTCTCGTCAGCTAATATTTGTAGCTGATGGATTTATTGCGCACCAGGCCCTGGTTCAAAATGGCGCTGTGTAAGATTTTTACCTGCGATCAACGTGACATTGTCAAGGCTGTGATTTTGGGGGGACTAAGGCGTCATCCACCCTACACATTTTCTACGCATTTTCAATCAGAGATGTGATTGGTGATAGAGAGGAGAAGGAAGTGAAAGAAAAGGATCCGAACAAATTGCCATATCTCTAGGCTGTGATTTTGGCGGGACTTTGGTTTCATCCACCTACACATTTTCTTCTGCCACATGTTGTGAAAGAAGATGTGGCATTGAATGGTTTCTCGATACCTAAAAACGGAATTTTGAATTTCTTGGTGGCAGAGATGGGATGGGACCCAAATGTGTGGGAGAATCCAGTCGAATTCAAGCCAGAGAGATTCTTGAACGCAGAGAAGAAGGGAGATGAAGGGTTTGATATTACAGGTAGCAAAGAGATAAAGATGATGCCATTTGGAGCAGGGTGAAGAATGTTTCCAGGTTATCACCTGGCAATGTTTCATTTGGAGTACTTTGTAGCCAATCTGGTTTGGAATTTTGAGTGGAATGTTTCCGATGATGGGGACGTTGGTTTATCCGAGAAACTAGCGTTCCCTGTGATGATGAAGAACCAATTACAAGTTCATATATCACCAAGGGTCTAATTAATGTCAAAGTCTTAGCCATAATAACTAAATATAAGTAGACAATGGTTCTTGGCCTTCATGCCTATGTTTGAGTTTTGTACTTTCATTAATTGTGCATTTTTTTCTCACTCAGGACGGTTCGTTTTCTTACTCAAATTGTAAAATCTTTTGACTCTAAATTAAAATTAAATTGAACTTTTTGGTTTTAGACTATCATTTCATTTCCCTTGAACTTTAATCACATTTTTTTTCGGTCACAACTTTAATCACATTATTTATATTAATTCCAATAAAATAACACGACGTACTTTTGTTCCCACCACAACTTTACTTTAATTATTTTTCTATTTACTTGTCAATTGTGTGATCCTATTCTACAAGTACCCCTTGACTATACTTGGGATTTGGTTTATATTATTATTGTTGGTTGAATTTGAATTTGGTGAGTTCTAGATGTTCTATTCTTTATTAACAAGCCACCTTCAGAAAAATTAAGAGAAGACACATTTTTAATGATTGAAAACACTGAAAAATTTTATTTTTAACCAACAGTGCAACAAAGGAAAATCATTCAAGGCCCTACGTAGAAATAAAATTACATGCTGAATTTAAAAAATTAGGGTATATAACAACTGGTTTTTTAGTTGAAATTGAGTTGTGTAAAAGTTTGGTTATCTTATCCAACTTAATCCAACTCGAACAAGTTCAATTCAGCCTAGTCCAATAGAAAAATTAGTTTAAAGGACTAAAGAAACCAAAAAGATCAAAATAACTTCTCAAGTTGGACTGGATAGAAAACCAAGCTCTCAAACCATTTAGTCCTATTTGATCCTATAAAACTATTTTAATATAATTTTAATTATTTTTAATATATTTGAATAGTTTGAATGTAGTATTTCCTTCATTCACATTTCGCCCTTCTATTTAATAAAATTTTAATTTAACTTGCCATTAAATTATTGTTGTAATGTATGTTAGATATGTTGTCGAAGTTTATTAAATGTTGTTGTTGCTGTTCTTGAAGTTTTTAATTTGAATCATTTGGATTATAATTGAAATATTTTTATTTGTTTTTGTTAGAGACTGTTATGAATTTTTTATGATTATAAGTATTTTATTATTTTAATTGAGTTTATTGGAATGAAATGAATTGTTACTTCTCATATAAGGGAAAAAAAGTGAAGTGAATACTGAACTATAAGGATCAATATTCTAGTCCTATAAACCAAGTCTGATTTTATTAATTTTTGGGTTACAATTAAATCAGACCGAATTATGGGTTGGCTAACCCAGTTCTTTTTATAAAAAAAAAAAGATTTTGAGTTAGGTCAAAATTTAATTTTATCAAGTCTTTTTTAAAACTTTTTTGTTGGAATGAAAATGCCCCTAAAGAAAATAAAACAATACAGAATGTAGATACTATAATGGTAAATTATGAATGTTTAGTTGTAATTTATAAACAATATATTTGAAATTATGAAAATAATAGATCCTCAGTAATCTAAATTTGATATACTTGATATATTTGCGTTTGTAGATTATGAAAATTTAGTAGTAAATTAGGTGCAATTTCATTTATGAATTACAGAAGCTCAATAAAAAAATCATTTGGAGCCTACATTTGTCATATGTTGGATGTAAAATTACACCGAAAATTTGAGAATTTAGTTGTAAATTATGTGTGATTCACTTGTAATTAAATTATAAAAGAAAACTTAGTAGTAAATCATATGAAAGTTGATAGTAAAATATGGAAGCAAAATATATACAAACACAAATACAAAACATAAAAAAAGGTAAACCAAACTAAAGCAAGAATTAGGAAGGGCCTTTTGAATTTCAGTTGAGACAATTAATTATAAAAAATTAATATGAAAAAAAATAAATATTGTGTTTTGGTGTATTTTGCCAAAATCATGGCTTTGGTTCAAAAAATTGATTAATAATGCGTATCTAAACAAGCACAAAAACTAACATAGCAATGCAATTCGGTACCCAAATTTCAAAAAAAAAAAAAAAAAACAACAACAACAAAGACCAGACATTGTAAGCCAACAACCTGCAAATTAGATTTGGGAATTAAATTTGTCATCTCTAATTTACAAGTAAATTTTCTATAATTTACGACTAATTAAGTTCTTGTAATTCAAGGCCATATATCGTTTTCCGTCATGCTTGACAAAAAATGTTGTCTCTCGTGTGTAATCTGATTATCTCTCAAACTAGGGGCTCGCGGACGAGAATATGTATTTAGAGAGGCCCTTAACTGCCATTTTCTCTCTCGTAACGGTCCACCCTTTTACCATGAGGGAAAATTCCGCGAAGGAACACCATATATATATATATATATATATATTAATCGAAGAATCTTGGAGGCCACGAGAAGTTCAAACTTGTGCTGTCCTGTTCCCATTGTTCTGTCATCTGTGTTCAAATTCTCTGGATCATCCCTTTAAATTCTCGTCATCTCACTGAACTATTCTCACTCATGTTCATCACTAATCACTATAACTACGCATTTATCCTCTTCTTCATTCTTAATAACCATAATCATGGAAGTTTGGTTCATCGTCCTCGTCTCTCTCTGTCTCTGCATAACAATCCGATCCTTCTGCAATATTCTTTCTTTTTCTCGCTCCACTCCTCTACCACCTGGGCCTCCTCGTATCCCCATCATTACCAATCTTCTTTTTCTGCGCAGGTCCATCTTAGAAATTGAATCTGTACTCCGAGATCTTCGTTCCAAATACGGTCCCATCTTCACTCTTCCTGTTGCGTCCCGTCCACTTATATATGTAGCTGACCAGTCTATTGCCCACCAAGCCCTTGTTCAGAACGGCGCTGTTTTCTCCGACCGTCCTGAGGCAGTTTTTGCCAGTAAGGTCTTCAGTTGCGACCAGCATGACATTAACTCTGCCTTCTATGGCCCCACATGGCGGGCTCTCCGCCGCAACCTCACCTCCGAAATGCTTCACCCGACCCGGATTAAATCCTTCTCTGGTTCCCGTAAATGGGTTGTGGACATTCTTATCAATCGGCTCAAATCTGATTCTGAATCAGGCAATCCTATCAAGTTGATAGACCATCTTCAATATGCTATGTTCTGCTTGTTGGCGTTCATGTGCTTCGGCCAGAAGTTAGACGAGAAGCAAATGAAAGAAATCGAGGATGTTCAACGACGCGTGGTTATGAGCTTTAACAGATTCAGGGTGCTGGATTTCTGGCCGAGAATCACTCGCATATTGTTCCACAAACTGTGGCAGGAAATGTTCCAGACTAAGAAGGAACGGGAAAGTCTTTTCATCCCACTGATCAGGGCGAGGAAGAAAGCCATAGAAGAGAGATTGAACAGAGCTAATGAGGACAATCATAGCTCAGATAAACTTGCCATGCCTTACGTTGATTCTTTGCTGGAACTGGAGTGGCCTTTGGAGAAGCGTAGGCTTGAAGAATCTGAAATCGTATCCATATGTTCAGAGTTTCTAAGTGCAGGGATAGATACAACAGCTACGACAATGCATTGGATTATGGCAAATCTGGTGAAGTATCCATATATTCAAGAGAGGCTTGTGGAGGAAATTAGAGATGTGATTGGTGACAGAGAGGAGAAGCAAGTGAGAGAGGATGATCTGAACAAATTGTCATATCTCAAGGCAGTGATTTTGGAGGGACTGAGGCGTCACCCACCTACACATTTTGTGATACCACATGCAGTAACAGAGGATGTAGTGTTGAATGGTTTCTTGATACCTAAAAGTGGAACTATAAACTTCTTGGTGGCAGAGATGGGAAGGGACCCAAAGGTGTGGGAGAATCCAATGGAATTCAAGCCAGAGAGATTCTTGAACGGCAAGAATAATTATGAAGCGTTTGATATTACAGGAAGCAAAGAGATAAAGATGATGCCGTTTGGAGCAGGAAGAAGAATTTGCCCAGCTTATAATCTGGCAACGTTTCATTTGGAGTACTTTGTAGCCAATCTGGTTTGGAATGTTGAGTGGAAGGTTTCAGATGATGGTGATGTTGATTTATCTGAGAAACAAGAGTTCACTGTGGTAATGAAGAACCCATTGCAAGTTCATGCATCTCCAAGGTTTTAAACCTGGACAAGGAATATTAATTCACGAGAAACTTGGCCCCACTGCTGGGGAAGATACTTGGGGCATTTTACTTATCAAGGGCTTGTTTAGTGTTTACTATTAAATAAATTTATACAGTTCGGTATCTAGTTACCATAAAATTGATGAGAATTAAGATGGTTGTTTCTAGCTTCTTACTTAGGCTTAAATAAAATCTTGTCAACGTTCTTGGTGGCACCCCGTGATACACAGAACTATAATATTATTCTCTGCTTGTAATTTTCTGATGACTTGTTTTAGTCGCAGATAATATGCCTTTCAAACAATTAATGCTAGCAAATGTGGCATCAGCCTCTAATCAACAAAAAACCTTACTCCTTTTCTTAATTTTTAAGTTAAAATTTAAAATCATTTTTTAAAACATGTTGACAAATTTATTCTAATTTTTGTTCGCTATTACTAGATATGAGATCCATAAACTTATTCGATAAAATAATATTTATCTTAATTTTTTATTAAAAAAAGAAAGCAAATAAAATAAAAATTTAATAAATTAAAAATATTTACATGCTTTGACCCAACTGACAACGACATTTGCCGCCATAACTTCCTTTGAAATGGAGATAGTCCGATACCAATACCATAACACAGAATTCATTATCCTTTTAGCAAACGAAGCATCTCAGATTTGAACGAAAAAGAATTCAGAGAAACAAAGACACCAACATTTCAGATCATTAGTTGGCAGTGTGCCAACGTTGTCTGGAAATCATCGAGCTTCAAATCCACCACCTTGTTTCAGGTCCTATATTTTCCCTCATTTTCACAAGCTTCTCTCACTTCTCGATTATGGAGTTTTGGCTCATCCTCATTATCTCTCTATCTCTGCCTTCTCATAAAACTTTTCCTCGCTTTTCTCTTCCCCTCTAATTACTCCCCTCCTTGTCTTCCCATCATCGGTTCTCTTCTCTTTCTGCGCAAACCATTCTCAGAACTCGAACCCATTTTCAAAATTTTCATACCAGATATGGTTCCATCGTCACTTTCCCATTTGGTTCCTTGTTCTACTGTATTCATAGCTGATCGATCTCTCACCCACCAAGCTCTCATTCAAAACGGTGCCATCTTCTCTGACCGCCCCAAGTCCTGGCCACCAGCAAGATCTTCAATAGTAACTAGCATAACATCAGCTCTGGTTTCTACGGCCCCACATGGCACCTACTCCGTGGCAACCTCTCTCACAGGCTGCTTAATCTGACCCGAATCAAATCCTTCTCGGGTACTCGTAGTTGGGTTTTGAACACACTTCTGAATCGCCTCAAATCTGACTCAGAATTATCAAGCAAATCCATCACAGTCATTGACCATCTTCGACGTGCTATGATCTGTTTGCAGGTGTCCATGTGCATCGGTGAAGAATCAGACGACAAGCATCTTATGGAGATAGAACATATTCAACATCGTTTAACGTCGAACTTGCACGAGTCCAATAAGCTTAATTTCTGGCCGAGTCTCTCTCGTACTTTTTTTCGCAAGCGTTGGGAAGAACTGCACCGAATTCGAAAGGAACAGGAGAATGTGTTGATTCCACTAAAAAGAGCGAGAAAGATAGCAAAAGAAGAAAAGTTGAACAAAGCTAAGGAGGACAATGACAAAAAAGATGAATATATAGTTTCATACGTGGATACGCGATTTGCAAATGCCAGAGGAGAAACGAAAGCTTAATGAAGATGAACTCATTTCAATATGTTCTGAAATATTGATTGCAGGAAGTGATACAACAGCAACAGCATCACAATAGATCTTGGCAAATTTGGTGAAGTACCCAAAAACCAGCAAAAGCTTGCAGAGGAGATAAGGGATGTGGTGGGTGAGAGAGATGAAACAAAAGTTAAAGAGGATGATTTGATCAGATTGCCATATTTTGGAGGGACTAAGGTGTCATTCACCTGGACATTTTGTGTTGCCACATGCAGTATCAGAGGAAGTGGTTTTTAATAACTATCTGGTGCCTAAGAATGGGACTATAAACTTCATGGTGGTGCAGATTGGGTTGGATACAGAGGTATGGGAAGATCCCATGGAGTTTAATCTAGAGAGGTATGGTTCTTGAGGAGTGAGAGAAAAATGGAGGCGAAGCATTTGATATTGCAGGAAGGAAAGAGATTAAAATGATGCCATTTGGGGTAGGGAGAAGAAAGTGTCCAGGATATAATTTGGCAATGCTTCATCTGGAGTACTTTGTCTTCGTGGCGAATCTGGTTTGGAATTTTAAGTAGAAGGCTGCAACTGATAATGTTGATTTGTCTGAGAAACAAGAATTTGCCGTGGTTATGAAGAATCCATTACATGTCTATTTATGTCCAAGGTTTTTTGACCCATAATGCCAGGAACAATGAATCTTTATGGGAATCTGCTCTTGTAATCATGCATGGCAAGCTATTTAACACTGCTATAAAAAAATTAAATAAAAACAATTTATATAATGCCATTTATTAAATGAGTAGATGTAAAAACATTTTATAAACACAGGCAAGAATTTAAAAAATTATTATTAAACGGTAATACAAAAAACGATTTTATAATAAAATAAATACATAACCATTTAATATTTGTCTTATTTTCACGAGCTCTGACCCCAATGTAATATCAAACGGTTTTGGGTAGCGAACCATTTAGTATTTTACCAAGTAGTTTCATTTGCAGAACCATTTTAACGGTTCTGTTAAAGGAATCGCTTAGTATTTGATTTTAAAAAACCTCTCGGCTCCCTCTCCTAACCTAAATCTAAAACATTCAGCTCAAAAAAAAAAAAAAAAAACCAAAGACTCACCTTGCTTGAAACTCCCAAACCACTATTTTCGGCCATTCCTTGCCTTCCTCCACCAAAAAAGGGCCATGGGTCGGTCATTGTTGTGGCCACCGTTTGCATTGGTGGTGGTTCTCTCATTGTGACTCGTCTTGCGTGTGTTTTGACAATGGGTTTTAGTTGTTTCTTCAATGTCGTTTGCTCGCTAGTGTGCTCTCCGCTCTTTCTCCATTGGCTGTCATTCCACCACAGTTCCTCCACTACTTCGTTTCTATCCCATCTCTTCCTCATTTTTGGCTGTGTGTTTTGCTTGTCGACAAAGGTAAGCTTTTTAAAAAAATGAAAAAAATTATATATAAAAGATTAGGAGGATTTTATTTCAATTTAGATTAATGAGTGACTGAATGTAGATGAAATGGTTACTCTGTAGCCTTTCTATTACTATGAAATTGTTGTGGCATTTTTGTTCCAAGCTTCTGCGATATTTGTTCTTAAATTGTTAAATGTGTTTGAATTTAATTTTGATTGGAATTGCTGTATGTGAATTTTGTTATGAAATTGTCCTTAGTTTAATGTTGAATTTGGTGAAAAGAAACATTAAGTTTGGGATTGCTTACTTTTATGCTGGCGTGCCACAGAATTTTTTTTGGGTCAAATTTTAGTTTTTGAATTTAAGTTGAATAGAACTCCTCTATGTGAATGTTTTTCCAAAAATCACTTTTTTTTTAAATTTAATTATTATTGCTATATACTTCCTAATTATACTCATTGCCATAGGGGACAATGGATGTTATTTATGATCAATCCAACTATTGAGAAAGTATGGTACCTTGACCCTGTTTGTTGTGGCAATCTCGGCAATTGGCCGCATATAGTGAAGATGATTAATTAATAAGCTGACTAAGTTTTGGAAATCTCGATAATATTTTATATGAATATTTCTCATATCAAGTTTTCTATTACACATTAAACCCATTGTCATGTACAGCATTAAGGTTGATCAATCAGCAATTCTAACAATTAATAAGGGGTAGCGATCACTTTAATACAGTGACATCATAACAATTATCAAGACACATGTATTTATCATTAATTATGTTAACAGTTACAAGGTCATGTCATATCATTAACTGACCAGATTTTTTGTTCATTATGGGATTATAGTGCCTAGAACAACCAGACAAAGCCATGAATTGTGGGTATACTGCCATGAAATACATGAAAGACATAATTCAACACATTCCTGTTGGGACTCTTTAAACAATGTATATATGTCATCAATCTTCTCATCGTTATATTTTTTATTAATTAATATGACTTTAATTTGTTTTGTTGTTTTTGCATATAGTACTATGAGGACACATACTATGACACATTTATTGAGGCTCAAATAAAAGAAGTCCTTTGAAGAGCTACTACATAGTATTTTCAAGTGTGGTTTAGTTATGACTATGACCATCAGCAACAATAGTAAGGCAATTGATCTTATAGATATACATTTAAGTGTATATTAGTTTGCCAAAAGTTCATTTGCTGAAAGTTTATTTGATAAAAGTTAGTAAAATAAAAGTCAGTTATTATGACGAAATTTGTGTTGTTTAAATACATTTTTTTAAATTAATTAATAAACTGAAAGTTATTTGGGTTGATGATAATTTGTGCTTTTGTATATACCATAACCATAAAGGACATTAAGTTATGATGATTTATAATTTTTATTATACAAATATAATATATTAAAAATATTTTAAACAATGTGAAAAATTTAAAATAATATAAAATTAATATGTTAAATATTAAAAATAAAAAAATATAAATTTAATATGTTAAAAAAATTATGTAATAAATGATTCAACATTCATTAATATTCGACATTCATTACTGGACGAGGGCGTACTAACGACACAAGGAGGGAGATAGGAGAAGTTCGATTGAGGAATGATCGACAATGTTGAGAGGAGTAGATATGAAAGAGAATATGAGGACTGTGAATTAAACTCTTGTGAATAAAGCAACCAAAAAAAAAATCAAGAATAGCATGGTCAATTAAAAGGGTAAGTACACATTTATTCATATCATTAAATGCCCAACTCACATATCACGTTTGAAATCCAACTCAAAATAGTGTTTCAAAATTCACTTCCATACCCCATTTCAATCCACATTTCAAAAACTCATTTATTAAACTAAAAATTTTTTAAACAGCTATTGACATCTGAAAAGTTCAATAGCACTTTCTAGATGCCAAAAGCTGTTTATCCAAATGTGCACTCTAAAATTAGCATCATAAATTATTATAAGTATACTTGTTTAAATTTTGAGATTTAGAGCCTTATATTTGCTACTAATTAATTTAACTTAAGCAACTTCAAATTATAAATAGCTTTTATTTAGGAATTCATGATATATATATTTCATGTATATAATTTGGTGTGGTGGCCTTAGAAATTTTGTTTTTGGGGTACATATTTTGTGTTGGAATCTGCTTTTCTAATGTAAAATGTAGAGGGTTGCTATGTAA